TTTATAATAGTTTCTAAAAAAAATATATGGTTATTTCGTAAGAAAAGTATTATTGCTGACAAGCGCACTTCTTGTTAATTTTCTTATTAAGTAATTGCGTATTTAAAATAAAAAATTGTTTCTGTTGCATATTGACGTTTTTTTTATCGATATTGACAATACATATTATAATTAGTTTGAATTTAAAATGAACACAATTGTTGCTACTGTTGTTAATTTGTTAAAAATTATAATATACCAGAAAAATTGCAGTATCATTTACAATAAACACTTTTTATTCATATAAACATTCTCGGTAGTTTCGATTATTACGTGTTTGAACACAAACATTAATTTGATTGACAGTCGCTACTTGATTATTATTTAAATGTAGGATGTATGAAAAAAAAACACGCGGAAAACAGTATTTTTTTATAAATACTATCGTGAAACTTAATATTTAATATATTGTGCATGCAATATGTCGAACTGAATCAACATGTCTTGTAACGGACAAAGTTGCTGTTGTTTATTCGAACACAAATGACTTAACTTATGTAAAAAAATACACTTTTACATTTGAGGCACAACTGCTACATTTTTTTTACTAGAGGAAAAAGTGTAACTTTACTACATGTAATGTTTCTTAATTTTTTTTTTCCTTATTAGGTACATCTATTTCATGTAAAATAAATTTTTTTTAATCAACAATGTTGACTTGGCTAAAAAATATATTCTGAATAATCGCTAAAAAAATGTTTTTAAATCTGATTTGTTTGAACTATTTCTGTGCCATTATAAATTAATTTTTTTTATTTGCAAATGTTTATTTGTCGTTACGTAGACAACTCATACAAAAAAGTAATTTTTTTTTTTTAAGACCCATACCCTCAGCTCTAATCAAATACACACATTTTATCACGCCTCCTTTTATATTATGCAAAAAATTTTGTATCTTATTATAAATAGTTTTTTTTGTTAGTTACACTTTTGGCTTCCACAAAAATGTAAGGCAGTCTCGAGAAGTGGTGTCTAAAAAATTCAAAATAAATGTTACGTTTCTTACCAAACAGCAACAGTCAAAAAGGACATTTATTTGATCAATGGAATAACGCACATGTTGATCGCAAATACACGAATAAAGAGACGAAAGAAAACAAAAACTTGCAGTATCCACACGCAACTAATCGAATTCTCATGTGTATATGTGTAACTGTTCTAAATAAACAATTTTAATCAATTTAACCACTATGGAAATTAAATTATTTCAAGGGGAGGGTGAACAAAAATGTTTTTTAGTTATTTGTTTTTTTCGTCATTTATTTGCAATTTTTTTTTTTAAAACCATTGTTACACATCATTTTAATACAACATTGACAGTTCCCAAGGAAATATCGATAAAAAATTTATTTCTGTTCGATATAAAAAAAAAAGTTGAAATTGACAAAAATGTGTTGTAAAAGTGTTACGACTGAACGAAATTTGATTATTCATTTGCAGTCAGTCAAACGTATAGCAAATATTATGTAATTAACGACGATAACATAAAAATCGGATTTTAAACAAGTGTGAAATTGGTGACTTATATAATCACAATTTATCGGTGCCAAAAAATCGTGGTGAATCGTTTATAACTTTAGTGCAATCCTACTATTGTTAAGTTAAACGTCAACAGTCTTTATCGTTATATATATGCTTCATTTTTTCGAACAGTTGTCATTTGATATGAACGAGAGAGCAATACTTTTCCTATGATCGAGTGCGTTTCTATTGGCTAACGATACAATTTCTGTACTTGGCTAAACTTGTTGTTTGTAATTTCAAATGATTCTAAACTTTTAATGACACTGTTTTCGTAAATATCGATTCACAATACACTATGTTCCACATAATCTAATGAATCTAATTTATGGTAATTTCAATTTTTCGTATACATTTTCATCGATCGGCAAAACTTTCATATAAATTTCAACACAAACTCAAATACTGCACAGGCTGTAATAAACATTTTTATTTACATGATAACATTTCGATACTTTCAAGATTCTGGAACATAACGACCCCATCAGTGAAACGTGCATCTGTCGCACAAACTTATATAATTTTTTTTTGTTACCATTTAGAGGTCTTCGATTCTGATTAAACTGGATATCTATGACAAAAATATTAGGAAAAGAACGTTGAAAGGATTTTTCGGTGGTGAAACTAAAAGGTAAGCCGAATAAGAACCTAAAAACACTGTAAATGACAAAAGATGATATCCTACACCATCAGAGTATCTGTTGAGGCATCTATTTTATTATCGATTGTGTTGAATCACGCAGACAAAGAATTACTGAATTTCTTGAGATGTTTTAATAATTAAATAAGAAAAAAAATGTTGAGTAAAAAAACCTTTCGCAAAGCGTTTTATTATGCGATTTTTTGCGACGATCCCGCAGATCGTACACAAATCGTCAAACAAGGGCGCTTACAGTCACTTTCCTCATTAATAAGTACAATTGTATCGTAGTAGCTGTAAGATAATGAATCACCAAGACTACGTCACAGTATGAACATGTGGTCGTGATTGGGCTGGCAAAGAGCTTTGGACACAGAAAAAGGTAGGGAAAGTCGTTCTACTATTAATTCAAATATAAAGTCTTCGCATTTAAATTGAACTGAATAAGACACACTTGGTTAAGCAGCATCACTGCAACTGGTTGTGACGGTACCTCTTACATCCATGGGACGCAATGTAAATCCAAGTTCTAAGTAGGGTCCTTAAACAATTTTATCACACGCTTCATGATCCAACCATTTTCAATTGATATGATTTCGACAAGAGCGATTTTTCATGCTAAGTGTTTCTATTGGCTAACTACATACGTTCCGTACTTGGCTAAACTTGTCATTTGTAATTAAAAATGATTCTCAACATTTTAATCATGATATATTCGCAAATATTGGTTCACAATACAGTATGTTTCATACTTGTTGTATGTAATTTATGAGTATCAGGCTCAAATAAATCATTTTGACGTTAATTATCATTTTTCGTACACACTTTAATCGATCGGAAAAACTTTCATAAAAAATTTCGACATAAACTCGAATACTGCACATGCAATAACAAACATTTTTTTTGAACTTATGAACTATTATAATAACATATCGATGACCAGACGCTCTCGTATATATAACGCGTCCATCAACAATTCAATCATGCTGGCTTTGATAAAACGGATGTATATATGTATATATTTATATCGTATAAACATTTCAACAACAGACATATCATTACGTGTTCGTTTAAGCTGTATAGCGAATGATCGAGCGCAAAACGGAAGCGACGTATATATGTGTGTGTATAAGCTGCTGAGCGCGCGTTTGCAGCAATCACAGTTTCTCATGTCGTTTTACGCACGCAGGAGTCTATATCTCTTGTCTTGGGCATAAAATCGGCTATGGAGAATCACAGCTTGTCATCGCTCATCTCCAGGAACTGCTCGTAGACGTCTCTCTTGCATTCGCCCTTGTTGTTGAATACGAACTTGTAGTAACTGCCGTCCGCGCAAATCACTGAAATTATATTTATATAATTTTATGGAATATGGAGCAATTGTTGTCGACAAATCGTTATTTGTTACCAATGATGCTGTTGTTGTCGGTCCCAAAAGCACATATGCACTGAGGTCCGCCTGGAACCTCGAACTTGCAAAAACTCCAATGAGAAGCAAAGTACTTGGGTAAAAACGTGGCAGAGGCTAAACTTGATTGTCGATTCAATTTGGGATCTTCTACCGCAAAGATGTGAACGGTCCCGTGATCACTGGCCACACACAGCATCGTTGAGTCATGATTGAAGTTGATGCTGTATTAAAAAATGACATGAAAAATTTATATTAAAATTACAATTTTAGATGCGACTTGAAAAATAAAATTACCAATAAATATTGGCATGATGAGCTCCTCGTCTAAACTCATTGACCATCTGGCCACTTTGTGTGTCAAATATCCTTATTAGCGTTCCTTTTTCTGAGGCTGTTGCCAACCGAGTTCCTTGTAAGTTCAACGCTATACATGACAGAGGTGTTTCATGTGCTTCTATGTTCAAAGGCTGTTTTTCCGTGTTTGCCAAGTCTACAACTGTAATTTATACATATTATTTGGGTTCCAAAGTTTCACAATTAATTTTTTTACCAGTTAAAATAAATATTACTTTGCACATGGCCGTCTTTTCTTCCAGGGAACGCCAGCAAAGAGTTACTGCTGTTAGGACTGAGGACACACAAGCCTTTGGGATTGGGATTTGTTTCAAAGACATGCAACTGTTGAGGGGTCTGAGTAAACGTGTAGACTTTTATAATCCCTTCCAAGATTATGACGATCCTGTCTCTTCTCAATCTGACTCCTTTAACAGTTGTGCTGAATTCCATGATAATAGCAGCTGTTTTCTTGATGTCGTCCCATATTACAGCTAAAACGAATAATTTCATGATCACAATTTTCTTTTTGAACCATGACAAGACTGCTTATTCATCTTACCTTTGTTTGTAGGGAACATTGGATTTTTTCCTCCCCCGATTATTGCCAAATAATTACACCTAAAGAGCATCTCAACGTATCCTAGGCCACCTTGTGCAAAATTGTGTCTCTCTTTTTCCCTCAGAGGATCGCAGTTGAAGACTCTGTAGCCGTTTTCCATCCCACACGCAAAACATCCTGCACAATTAAATCAAACGAGACATGAGATAACGTATATCTGTTTACTGAAAGTTTATTTCTTACACGCGTAAGAAAAACTTTTAATGAGTCAAGATAAATTCTAGGGTATGTTTCATTTATTCATTGATCTATAATTCAATTAGCTTATCGAAATATTTTACTGGCAAATATAGGAATATCATTGTCGTATGGTAGGTTCAAGTTTTATACTTTATTTCTAGATAGACAATAATGCTTATGTTTCGAAAATATATAAATCAAAATACTTTGATGCATTTGATTACAGAACAGAAAATAAATACTATAAAAGATTAGTGGTTTGACTGTTAGTAAAAAATTAGGTCACAAAAATATAATCAAGAAACTGGATCATTCCTGAATACAGATCAAGCAGGCATTGGATTACATAAAAATCGAGGACGTTCGAAGATTTATTTGGGAAGACATAAATAACTCTAATGAAAAGAGGTTTGGTGTACTTATAGTACAAGTATTTAAAAAAACATGGACAAGGTCGATCAGAGAGCACTCAGCTTCAATAAAATCAGATTGAGAAGTTGGCAAAAAAACAAGCAGCTGTATGTAGGCAACGTCGTTTGCAACAACGTTCAACTCCAAAAAAATTGCAAGGCCTTGATCCTCAAAGGATGGGAAGAATAAAAAGAGGTCAGGCCGAATCCAATGAAGACACTTGTTATAAAAACTTCAACTTAGACCTAAATACCTTGATCCTGATTGAAGGCGGCGAAAAGAAGGCCGTTGTTGTTGGGATTTCCAGCCGTAAGGTTCATGGCTGCGTGTTGTCGTCGTAGCCGTCCACGTTAACAGTTCCGCCGCTGAGATACGGAGAAAAACAAACACAAAAAACTATACACAGTCACAACTCTCACAGCTCTTGCGTATCGTGTTTATCGGATTTTTAACAATTGAATCCACGTGAGCATCGTTTAAAGGATTCCTCGGTGCTTCGGCAGATGTTACCTTCCTGTGGAATTTTACGTTTTGTTGACGTAGGAGGTCAATTACCCCCTCGACGAAAAATATGACTTTACCCGCGGAAGTCAGAGCTTCGTGTCACGGTGTCACCCTCTCTGGTACAGACGTACAGTGCATGCGACAATACACTTTTTGACGGCGCACGATTCACTTGAATTATATAGTACCTATATTTTCACTACGTGTTTATACATGTATTAAAGGTGTATTTTTACATTTTTTTGCTCTTGATCTCTCTCTTCATAACATCTTCGTCTCCAATCGTGCCATGGAACGCCAAACAGCATCCCATTCTACGATAATCTGCACCACCCTACATTTGTTTACAATCAACGCAACATATAGATTTTTAATTTTATCATTTTGGTAAAGAGAGCACGGTGTACGATATACGTGAAGATATGTGTAGTAGTTATAGTAATTAAGTATAGTAATCATTATCGCTACTAAGTATGGTGCCATATATATGGTCGATTTAATTAAACCATGTGAGTAGAATATCTATACTTTTGGAGGTCAATTTTTAAATAAACTTGCCGCAAATAGCACAGACAACGTCAACTTTTTATTTTGTATCTACAAAATTAGTTGCGGCTGGTTTATAACAATTTAAATGGCTCTACTATAAATAGTAATAATTATTTGGATCAGCGCCATCTAGCGGTCTTTAATTTTTGGCCAAAAGTGGCTCCTAAACTTTTGAACTCGAGCTTTAGCGATTGGAGCCATTTAGTGAATTATAAACCAGCCGCAACTAATGATANTATACAAAAAAATCACGAAGTAGGAGCACTTAATTTCCAGGGGATAATCAACAGAATTAACGACCATATTGACTATCACTTGGTCAACAGTTGCTCTGTCATTGAACACCCAGAATATGCAAATCACATCTTAATTATATACATAACTTTTACTAAGTTGAAAAATTGGTTTGTCGTTTATCAAGTTCCTGCAAATAAAAAAGTATTGGGTCAATAACTAATAAACGTTCATGATGACAACCATGTAACGTTTCGCAAACACGTGGACAAACCTATCAGATCGGAAACCTGCCTCTAATAGTATTCTGACAGCGACGTATTTTTCCAACTAAAAAGGTGCTCTCAGTGCTCTGTAAACATCTTGACGAAAATTTTCTTTGACATCGTTAAGATCGTCATCCATGTCGAGTAAGCGATAAATTTTCTGTTTATATCCAAAACCACTTGCAACAATCAGTTCGTGCAGGTGATATTTGTTTCGTTGGCGTGCAGACGTAACTTGGACATCCATTCGTTTTTTTATTTTTAACTTGTCGTATTGACGGCTTCTGTTATTCTCTGCAGCATCTATCTTCTGTAATTGGCGTTCGTGGCTAAATAAAAGAGTTTGACGGAAGCAGTCTAGTGCACGGAAGTCGGCCCCTAAAAAATGTATATTTGTAAAAATAAATATTTCCTAAAAATTAATTCTAATTAAAAAATCATGGATGAATTTCTACGTAATGAATTAAAACACCTCCTGCTAACGTTAGATCATGAAAAAATTATAAAACTTGCTTATTCAGCACTGAAGTTTGCTATTACTGTATCTCGTAATGGTGCCACTTTCAATGCTTCAAGCCTTTTGTTGACAGCAGATGATCACAATGCCAGCACATTGAAAATAAAGGTCATGGAGTTTATTGCTTTGAATGTAGCACAAGTGACGGAAACAGCAGGATATGAAAAGTTAATAGCTATAAGACCAGATTTGATTGTTGAAATCTTCAGCTCAATGGTAGATATAACATAAAAGTTGAACATTTAAAAACATTTTTTATTTTTTCAACAATTTTGTGATAATTTATTGCAGAAAAAATTCATCAAGAAACTGGAGCATTGTTCACATTAGATATTAAAAGAAAAAAAGAGGTTGACATTAATTTTTTATTTTATTAGCCATATACTTTTGCATGTAAATCATTGGCACAGTATATTTATTGAGTTACATGAATAAACGATGTTTTTATCCCATTATTCGTCAATCTTATAGATTATTGTATACTTTAATAATAATTAGTATGAACTTCCTTGTCACTTATTAGTATTTTGAATAAAGGTATCAATTTTCCAATTGATGCTACAAAATTTACAATATAAAAAACATTTTAATGAAACAAAGCCAGCACAATTCAATAATTAATTCTCTATAGGAATTAATGATGGACAAGAAGACAAATAGTTCCAGCAAATGTTGTCGGTTGTCTCAATTACTGGATTGTTGCTCTCAAACACAAATGGCGTGTTCATTTATTGATGGTCGAAACGTTTAATGGAGTTGGATAGTCTGCTCCTTTTTGTTGATGGCATTAATTAACTTTGTTAGCTTTTTAAGTTAACTTTCTTGAAAAGTAAACTGAAACGTCGTTCAACATACCTGCAGAGGATGCATCATGTTTCTCTTTAATTCTTTCAAGTAAAAGATATAATGTAAACTTGCCGCAAACAGCACAAACAACCTTAACTTTTTATTTTACAACTACACGATCAGGTGCGGCTGGTTTATAATAATTAAAATGGCTCTACAAAGAACAGTAATAATTATTTGGATCAGCGCCATCTAGCGGTCTTCATTTTTTAGCGAAAAGTGGCCTCTAAAATTCTCAATTAGAGCAATCAGGCTTAGAGCTATTNGAGGATGCATTGTTTCTCTCTAATTTTTTCGAGTAAAAGATGTATTGTAAACTTGCCGCAAATAACCCAAATAAAATTAACATTTTATCTTACAACCATACCATTAGTTGCGGCTGGTTTGTAATAATTTAAATGGCTCTACTGTAGATAGTAATAATTATTTGGATCAGCGCCATCTAGCGGTCTTTATTTTTTGGCCAAAAGTGGCTCCTAAACTTTTGAACTCGAGCTTTAGCGATTGGAGCCATTTAGTGAATTATAAACCAGCCGCAACTCATGAAGAAGCTATAAAATAAAAAAATAACGATACTTGTGTTTTTGGCGGCAAATTAACAATCTATCTTATGCTCGAAAATTTATCTTTGAAAGTACGAATACATAGGAGGTAAATTTTTTGGTAGAAAATAGATTGTTAACTTGCCAACAAAAACACACATATCGTTATTTTTTTATTTTATAGCTTCATCATAAGTTGCGGCTAGTTTATAATTGATTAAATGGCTCTACGCGCTAAAGCTCTGGTTCAAAAGTTTAGGGCCACTTTTTGGATCAGAAATTCGCAACGCTAGATGGCGCTGATTCAAATAATTAGTACTACTTTCAGTATAGCCATGTAATCGGTTATAAACCAGCCGCAACTCATGATAAAGCTATAAATTAAAAAAATAACGATACGTGTGTTTTCAGCGGCAAGTTAACAATTTATCTTATGCTCGAAAATTCATCTTCAAAAGTATCAACACATAGGAGGTCGATTTTTTTGTAAAAAATAGATTGTTAATTTGCCTCAAAAAAATCACGCATCGTTATTTTTTCATTTCATAACCATAAAATTAGTTGCGGCTGGTTTATAATTCACTAAATGGCTCCAATCGCTAAAGCTCGAGTTCAAAAGTTTAGGAGCCACTTTTGGCCAAAAAATAAAGACCGCTAGATGGCGCTAATCCAAATAATTATTACTATTTATAGTAGAGCCATTTAAATTGTTATAAGCCAGCCGCAACTTATTATATTGATACAGAATAAAAAGTTAACATTGTTTATGCTGTTTGCGGCAAGCTTACAACAATTTTTCTATGAAAAAATTGACCTCTAAAAGTATAGATATTCTACTCATATGGTTTAATTAAATCGACCATATGGCACTACTTAGTAGTGATAGTGATTACTATATTACTACACATTACTTCACGTATGTCTTACACCGTGCTCTTCAGAAGAGCAGCCTCTTCTCTTTGACTCATTATTCTTTATTTATCCCACAAAACAATGATTATGACTAACATCGTATAGATGCCAAATTGATGCCAAATTCCATCACTAAGACGTCTTTTAGTTAAAAGTTGTCTTGTCTAAAGAAAACAATCTGTATGTTTTACCACCAGCGCTGTGTGGATTCTGAGTTTTAGTTTTTGGTTTGGGATTCGAAACGCGAGATGGCGCTGATCATAAAATACACTAGCCCATGCCGGCATGCCCCAAGCCCAAGCTCAGGAAAGGCGATCGACGATCGACGCCCACGCGTGCTCAATCACGTAACCTCTTGCACGTGTGGTATGTAACACGTTAAATGTTTTATTCGTAATTAAAAAATTGTGAAGTTAAGATGACGTTAATGAAATCCCGATCGGCATGCAATATGTTATCGTTATTTGATTATTTGAGTAAGTGAGTGTTAATTCTTTTCTTTTAGTGAAGTGGTGTGCGGATAATTTTTTTAACATTCTAACCTATGTTTGTTCATAAGTATTTGACTCCAAATTGTTTAGAACAATTTACGAGTAGAAACATGCATTGTTTTTAATCAATGTCATCGCACATTTTTCCTTGATTTTGATACAGCCCGGTAAACTGTTCTTTAAAGAACAATCTACGTTAATGTTTTTGTTTGCATCATTCCCAATATAAATTTAAAGTAGTACACGATTCGTTTATGTGAATTAAATCAATGTTAACTTTTTCAGCTATCAAGTATCAGAAATCATTGTTAACTTTTTCAGCTATCAAGTATCAGAAAATGCAGAAGAATTACTTTGAATCTCATTGGTAAGTATACACTTTCTCACTATGGTATATTGTATAGAGTTAACTCATTTTATCAAATATGTGCTTTGTTATTATTTATAGCTCTTAACAACTTATAGCAGCAACATGATGGTCAGAAAAATACACACATTTCAAACTTTATTAAAAGAAACACCAAAAAACCTTAAGGGTAAGAAACTTAGTTCCCAAAATTGGATTGTACGACAGTTAAAGGATCCATATGTAGAAAAGGCGAAGCAATACAGTTACAGATGTCGCAGTGCCTTCAAACTTTTAGAATTAAACGAAAGACACAAAATATTTACTCCTGGCTTGAATGTAGTCGACTGCGGTGCAGCTCCTGGTAGTTGGACTCAAGTTGCTGTTCGATTGACCAATGCAGATGGCAAAATGATGGACAAACAACTGGGCAAAGTGGTCGCCATTGACAAGCTGCCTATACATCCGATTGAGGGAGCAATAACTCTGGGAAGTATGGACTTCACAAGTGATCTAGCCCAAGAAAATTTGAAAGCAGCTTTGGAAGGGAAGTTTGCTGATCTTGTAATGTCCGATATGGCGCCTAATTCTGTGGGTATGAGGCAATTAGATCATGAAAAAATTATAAAACTTGCTTATTCAGCACTGAAGTTTGCTATTACTGTATCTCGTAATGGTGCCACTTTTATAGTTAAAGTATGGGATGGGAATATGGCAAATGAATTGGAAGCGAATATTAAAAAATACTATAGGAATGTGAAAATAGCCAGGCCTGATGCTACTAGAGATGAGTCATCTGAAAAGTTTATTCTTGCTCAAGGCTTTAAGGGAATCAAGGCTCACTCTTAATCTCTTTCTCTGATGCTCTTGTACATGTGTGCAAACAAAAATTATCCCTCTGCTCTTTAGTGTTGTTTATTGATTTTTTTTTATTTTTTACAAATAATTGTGGTAACATTGTGGTTTGTATGCGAATTGTCATGGGTGATTGGTTTTATTGTTTCATCATGGATGAAGCTTTGTAATGGACGAAAAATTTAGTTTCTTCAAGTTTATCATTGAAATAGGCGTTTGACTAAGGTACATGTGTGACGTGATCGATCACATCTTAAATTTCTTTTACTTGTGCGCCTATTAATAACCTAGTAATAACTTAATTTTCAGTGCGGGGGCTATATATTATTTTATCAATCAACCAACACTAAATATTAAATTGGTCGACGTGCCGTTTAAAGCGTTTACTGTCTAATTCAATCTCATAATGCAAGTCGCCTATTTTGTGTGTAATGAGTCCAGGTATCCATTTATCCAGTAGGGACCGTATCCTCTGTCCAGTTTCGATACTCTTCGTCTGGAACTTGCTGGTTTGCCGCTGCATCAGTAGCTGTTCGTGCTGCCTCTGCCGTACGGTACTGCAGGAACCATGTCGCTCTAGGGTTGGCTCGCACGAATCCCGCCTCATGCTCCCAGATATAATCGAGGCACCGATTGAAAACCTCGTTAGCTTGTTGACGAGCGAGTACCTTATCCTGCGGAACAACGGGAGATAATAACTCACCGATAGTCAGGGCCTCCGGATATATTACTTCTCACTTCACTGAAGTTGTAAACGATCCCGATGAACATGATGGCCTCACATTCGCTTTTCCTGAAAAAGGAGTGTATGACTTTATCGCTAAACACGATACCCCCGAAGTTGGTCTAGCTCCCGCTTCATCAGCATGCGCTGAGTTTGCGAAGCTTAACACAAATTTCGACATCACCGGAATTACTATATGGCATGACTTTGGTAATCTAAATTAATCTAAGTTCGGACCATATTGGGGCAAACGCCCAGTCAGAGCCTCATCACGTTACGAGGACACATTCATTTCTTTAGGTTCGATTATACCTAATAGTTTTGCCTTGACCCGTCCCGCTGGACGCAAGCCAAACTAATTTCAATTAAATCAGTTCTTACTTTTAATTTTGCTAGTTATAACTTATTCATTTATTTATTTCTAATCCATATGATGGTTACAAGATTAGAGATGACTACATGAGGGCAGCAAAATCCTCATGGTTGATTGCATCTATCAATGCCGCTTGTGCATCAAGGTGGGCTTGAGGCACGACTTCTTCCACTTGTGCGTTTGTGTATCCATTTACGTAATCATCTATCATCCGCATGGTTATTGCAGCATTCTTTGGTGCTCGAATCCAACCTTTGTAATCACGCAAAGATACTTCACCATTTATCCGAATGAGCAATTCCTTAGAGATGTATCCAACGCTGCTATAATTAGTTGACTTGTCAGACCCGAGCTCTCGATTGAATCCATAGTAATTGTAACCGATCCCGATGAATAGGATGGCCTCACATTCGCTTTTCCTGAAAAAGGAGTGTATGACTTTATCGCTAAACACGATACACCTACGTCCTCTCTCAACTAGTGTAAAATTACACTGAGCTTATCTTATAGATATCCAAAATAAATTGTTGACATTGAATTCCTCTAATTTATTCTTTCAGAGTTTTTTCAGTACTCCCGTGTTGAGATAAGATAATATGTTCCACGATACTTTATCGGGCAAACTCTTAAAATTCGTTAATCTCAAGACATCCACTAAAACTTCATTGAAGAAATCTTTTGCAGCATCCAACACTCTCCTCTTTTCCATCGACAAGGCAATACGCGTTTTCATGGCGTATTCGTAATACTTGAGATTTCCTTTATCTTAAAGTGACGAAAGCAATTTTTTACAAGCACTAAGGTGCTTCTCATCACACAATAATTGCACAAATGCATCTTGGTGCATCGTTATTGCGTCAAAGTAGGAAATATTGCCTACTTTGATTTCTTTTAACTGACGTAAAGTAGTTTTACACTTGGAGTATATTTTCCTAAGCGTCTATGTAATTTTAAAATTCCTTGCATCGGAAGTAAATTTCCACTTCATTTATTTAAATGTACATAAATTGTATACAAAAAAATCACGAAGTAGGAGCACTTAATTTCCAGGGGATAATCAACAGAATTAACGACCATATTGACTATCACTTGGTCAACAGTTGCTCTGTCATTGAACACCCAGAATATGCAAATCACATCTTAATTATATACATAACTTTTACTAAGTTGAAAAATTGGTTTGTCGTTTATCAAGTTCCTGCAAATAAAAAAGTATTGGGTCAATAACTAATAAACGTTCATGATGACAACCATGTAACGTTTCGCAAACACGTGGACAAACCTATCAGATCGGAAACCTGCCTCTAATAGTATTCTGACAGCGACGTATTTTTCCAACTAAAAAGGTGCTCTCAGTGCTCTGTAAACATCTTGACGAAAATTTTCTTTGACATCGTTAAGATCGTCATCCATGTCGAGTAAGCGATAAATTTTCTGTTTATATCCAAAACCACTTGCAACAATCAGTTCGTGCAGGTGATATTTGTTTCGTTGGCGTGCAGACGTAACTTGGACATCCATTCGTTTTTTTATTTTTAACTTGTCGTATTGACGGCTTCTGTTATTCTCTGCAGCATCTATCTTCTGTAATTGGCGTTCGTGGCTAAATAAAAGAGTTTGACGGAAGCAGTCTAGTGCACGGAAGTCGGCCCCTAAAAAATGTATATTTGTAAAAATAAATATTTCCTAAAAATTAATTCTAATTAAAAAATCATGGATGAATTTCTACGTAATGAATTAAAACACCTCCTGCTAACGAATAATAAGATCATCGTCATTTCTTTCATACGAGATATATTATATTATTTATTTACTAATTTTTTAAAATTTTTACGTAGCAATGTACCTCTCCTCGCTCCTTAATCATAATTATTATTAAGAAATAAACTCGGTATCATGGAGCATGACTATTTATTTATATTTTATTTATATTCAATATTTCGCTGTCCTGCTGACAGCCTCTTCAGGATAAAAATTCTACAATTGTAACAGAATACGATTGAGTGTATTTCTTAAATTTGGTTGTAATCAAATTCATTTACTTAGCGATGATTAATTAGAAGTTTTCATGGGATTTGCAAAGTAAAAAAATCTCGACCAAAGGGCAGGGTTTTTGTATGTTTGTGCCCTAAGTGCGACCGACCTTTTTTTTAAGAGCGCAAAGATGTATCTTTTAATGTTGGGCAGATGTGTAAGAAAATAATTCGTATACATCGTAAAAGTATGATAAAGTCATGTTTTTAACACTTGAAAATTTTAGCCTAATTGAATGTGTATTTTTTAAGATGTTAGACCTACATATATATCTACTTTCATTTACTCATACCTTGTTGTTTCACACAAAAAATAAACGTCTCATGTATAATAATTCATACTTTTTGCTCCGAAGGAAATACAAGGCAATTGTGATAGAAATGCCTAAAAAATGAATTTTGTTTGTAAATACCAAAACGTATGTGCTGATTGGATCAGCAACTACAGTGATTTGTGACATCTTGTACATTTGTATAATAAAAGTTTGTAAAATATTGTTTGTAAAATTTCCTCAGTACATCACATCATCGCGTACTTTTAAGTATATATAACATCATTATTGAAGTATGTAAAATGATTAAAAATAAATGTTTGAAAAAATCACACGAGTAATTATGTAATGGACCCATGGGTGTGAATAACCACTCGTATTTAAAAATCGATAAACTTTTCATTCACCATTTTCAATGAGTAGCCATCCGATTTCGCTGAAGTAATAGAAAAATATAGTAAGTAAGACGATACTTATCATTTACAACATAAGAAAGTGACTATTTTGCATCTTAATTTGTTTGTATGAAGAGAGTATGATAACGTTTTCAAAATAAATTATAAATTTTACCTTTAGCTTATTCCTTTATTAGAGAATTTAAAAATTTCAAATGAGTGAAAATCATGGCGTGAAAATCACTTTGAACTTAATGGAAAAATTAAATTTTATTTTTGAATCAAGTTAATAAATCAAAATAACATTTTTCCTCTTGTCACATGATTATTTAAAACCATTTATTAATAAGACAGTGCAGCTAGGAGACGAGGAAAATGAAGAAACACAATTTATATAGGCAATATACATCGATATATATATATATATATATTTTATTATAAATAATACAATAATTATTTAATACAGTTACATTTAATACATCTTTACGATAGAATTAACACTTATACCGTTACGTTTTTTTCTTATTTATTTATTTTTATATACAAATCTGCTCTTTATGCCTTTTATTCTCTCTACATCTACGCTTTTGGATGTATTAATGATTTATTGCAACTAATACATAATGGATAATTGAATATTTACAAAACATCGTCATTCTTTACACAGCACGTCGAACGGAAAAATATACAAACTATGGAAAAATTGTAGCAAACGATATGAAATTGTTTATTCGTTTATCAAGTACATCGGACAAAGTCCGAATTATTACAAAAAGATGCAGAATATGTGTCCGTTTATGGCCGCATTGTCAGTTTTGTGATTTCATGTTTGCGATAATTATTAAATTCATAATGAATTCCACTTTATTCAATATGTATGTGCGTACAAACATCATAATTCGCTATTTTATTTATTTTTTTTTTTTTTCTCTAATTCATCGGCGTTTCCTCGTATTAAATATTGGATTGGATCTTTTTGGCCTTTTTTATTTATCAACAATAGATCGGTATTATCGAAGAAAATGGAAAATGAATATGATCCCGGCACTTTTGTTGCAAATGTCAGAATTAAATATGTACAATATTTTTTTTTCTTTCAAATAAATCGATTATCTATAATAATGGTACATCTAAAAAAAATTATTAAGTTAAATTAGTTTGTACAATTAGACACGAATAAGTCATAAATAAGACGCAATTTATACTTTATAAGTAACAAACACAAAATGTATATACACATTATGTAAATTAACTGATGTATACCATAGCAATTGATTAATTGCATGACCCATTGGAATTTTCGTTTCGGTAATTTCGTTGTTTTTTTTCCCTTTTTTGCGTAAGAATTCTTAAGAGATGATGCGCAACATGTAAAATATATATATTTTTTTTTAATATTACGTATTTCAACGCAGTAATTTTTCGAAAAAAAAAAAAAAAAAAAAGATTCTTCGCCTGAGTTACAGAAAAAATTACACAGTAATCTACTTGACAATTTTTGTTGTAGTAAATGCTTCAGCGTTTTAATGCTTGTAGTTGTAACAAAATGAATTCCAATTTGTTTTTACTTGATAATTTATTTTTCGTATAAGATAATCATGCAAGTGTACAAAAGGGGGGCTTTAGCGTATTATTATGTAATACGTACGTTTAATCTCACGTTGGTCTTCTGTCCCTACATAAACTATACGAGTCTTATAAATATTTATTTTCATCTCAACTACTTACACAGAACATCATAATATTACGTTTAATAGACAACAATTTTTTTGTTATTCTTTTATATTATGCAAAAATGAGAACAAACACGTACAGATACTATTTTCGACTTTTGTTACTATACGTACTATTTCATTATTCGAAGGAGTAACACATTTTTGTTACTACATAATAACAGCGATATGACTTTTTATTATTCGTTATCTGTTATTATTACAATAAATATACATACATAGTCGTAATGATAATAATCATAATAATTGTTAAAATTATATTATTATATATAGTTATATTTTAATATATACACATTACTATCCGGAAGAA